ATGGAACCCAGCCCTTAAGGCGACAAGTGACTACACAAGGCAAACAAATACATAGCAGAGCCTTAAAGCCAGTAAAACAAACTGGAAACTTTGCTATCAGCCTTCAACATTTTTTTTTCCTTTTCTAAAATTAAAAAAAAAAAACATTTCTTCCATCTTAAGCGTTTCAGTTCCGTTGTCCAGTTTGTTCAACACTTTAAAACTCAAGAACGCCTCAGCCCTCGTTCGCAGGAGAGCGGGAGGCGATTCCAACTTTTGGCAAGCAGTTGGGAGACTCAAAAGAATTAAAAATAGGAGCATAGGAGGACTAGATGTAGGACACGTCTGTAAACATGTTATACATTTGAAAGTTACACACACCTGTAAAGGTGATACAGTTTATAGGTGAAACAGAACTATTTGTGACCGGCCAACCACAAATTTCTGAACCTGGACTGATACAATAAATTATTACTATATATATGTGTGTATATAAATAAATGTGTATATATATATATACACACACACACATAGTATTTTGTACATAAAGTGGAGTAGGCAATCCATACCCAAACTTTTAAAACTAAGCAGTGCAGAAAGCTAGCAATCTTATAAAAAGGTACAGAATTAAGTTTCTTTGTCCCACCATGAACTCAAGAGCTTCATTCAGGAACAAGCTTACTAAAAGAATAAAAACAATTAAAAAATGCATGCTACAAACTCCTACTTAACAAAAGAGTGGATACATAAGCATAAGGGGTAGGCAAAAGTTTTGGGCTTATCTGCTTCCTGTAATGCCCCATAGGATCCAGTCTAATTTTAGGGTATCCCAGCTGCCGCTGACCTCGATGCCCAGACACGTGTTAGCCTGTATTCAGCCACAAACACCCACGGACCTTTTTGAGCACTGGGTATGCATGGAGTTTAAATAGGCCAGAAAACCCATTTTTGTTTCATTCAAGATTCATTGCTCGGTCTTACATTGGACCCCTGGAACTCTGCACCTTTAAAACAACAAAACAAAAACCCCAAAAAAACTATCCAACGTCAATATGATTTCAACATGCTACACAAGCTGCAGTGGGACACAACGGGTTACACAGCTGGAGCCTGCACTCTTTTCAGTCTTCTCTACCATCGCTGGAAAGCTTTCCTTTTGTTCCGATTTTTTTTTTAATTATTATTTTCATTCCTAAGACCCCCATTTTGCTCTTGTAGTAATAAAATATATTTTTATTAAGAGATAATTAGAAGCAGAGCCCAGAAACACACAGACTGCAATAAAATATAAAAGAGCATTTCCAATGGGCACGTGCGAGAAACCCCAGCCATCAGTCTTCTATGGATAAATTAAACAGGATTCAAATTCCCATTTTTCCTTTTTTTTTTTTTCCTTTTTTTTCCAATTTTTTAAGAGAAAAAAATAATCAAGAAGGGTGAAAGTTAGCATACCTCAAATTCTCTTCAGTTTTTCAATGAAAATGGGAAAAAATCCAGGACATTTAGTGTTAGGAGACAGACAGAGCAAATATGAAGCACCTACAGTTGAAAGCAGGAAATTTTTTTTTTTTTTTTTTTTTTGCTCCCAGTAATACAATGGCATTAAGCTGTGGGAACAGTGTTTTTTGTTTTTTTTTTTCCCATATAAGATGCCTAAACCAATTGCTTATTTTTGAATGTTGTCTTTTAAAATGAAAGAGCTCTTCAGTTGTAATAGTCCAACGTGTAACCGGAGCCATGTCAACCGTGAGACTTCACTGTGCATCCTAGAACTGCAGTATTACAATCTTTCCCCCAGAAGAATGATGCTTTATGAAAATTTTCCCAGCATATGATTGGCTGCTTTACTCCTGGCAAAACATGCAGATTATAATTCTCAGGGCGGGGGGGAAACTCTGCAAACTTCAAGGTGTTTCTCCAGCATTCAATGTAAAACAAAACAGAAAAAAAAACAAACAAAAGGGGGAGGTGGAAGGGAAAGGGGAGATGAAGGATGGCGAATCATCCTGATTTCCCTATGATTAGTGTATCACTACAGTCACAGAACAAGAAACAGAAACCTTGTCAAGTGGAAATGCCTCTCCAGTGGGTCGCTGTTGCCCACGCAGACGACAGCAGGAACTTTAGAACTGGGCTTGTAAATTGAGTCTGTATTCGTTAATCACTTGCATTCACTCTTTAAACAAAAAAAAAACAAAACAAAAACCGAAAGAAAAAAAAAAATCTATTCAGTACCGGAGATTAAATAATCACGTGTGTAGTCTCGTTGAAATAAATTTTCAGATTTCTTAAGAAGTCTAATTACTTTCAGTCACCATTTTTAAATAACTATATATATATTTGAATATATTATCCTGTGATTCTAGTTATGGTTCCTCTGCTGCACTGAAGATTTAGAAGGAGCATAAAAGCCTTTTGTCCCCCACGAACAGCACAAATGCTGCAAAAAGGTTATAACAGGCAGTCTTGTCTTGCTACCTTCATTGATCCGGGCGATCCATGGCTTCATCGTAAGTGATTATCCTTTTGGGATCTGGAAAGAAAGCAGAAACCTAAGTTTCCCACAAGCTACTTTCAGAACCTGTGGCCGAAGATATTCGCAATAGATCTGCAAGATGCTCAGCTAACTGTTAACAAACTTTGCCTTTTTCCCTCAGTAAAGGGCCACGATTTAAAAGGCAGTTTCCTCCTTGCTCTGACATGTCGCTGATCTGCCTCCTGCACGCAGCGGAGGCTGCGCGGCGGTCCCCGCGCTCCCAGCGGCACTACCTCCCGCAAACGTAGGCGAGAGCCCTAAGCCACTCTGTGCAGGGCGGCGTTTGCTCCCCACGCTGCACGCGTGCAATAACGCTGCAAAAAGCGCAAGAGGCTCCGCTCAGCGCTCTTCCCACAAGCTACATAACACGTTTACAGATGAAATCAGGAGATACATCAGAATTTAAAACTTATTTTTGGGTGCAGAAGCCAACACCAGAAATATAACACAATGATTGTTCCTAAATACACCTATGCAGCACCACTTACATCTAATTTGACATCCTGTTTGGAATTCTCTTTCTTTTAGGCATTTTGCTTCCCTCTGAAACCTCCAGCATTACAAAGCTCACTGTCCCGATTTTCAAAGATGTGGAGCGCAGATAAACCCAAATTAGGTCCCAGGCAAATACAAACGGCTAGCACTGAAGAACCGAACTCGAGCAGCTCCGGACTCTGACATTATTCACCGTTCAGCTCTCAACACCCACAGCACAGTCCCAACAGACAGAGCAGGGCAGAGCAACCGGGCGTCTTTTTTTCAGAGATCCTTACCTTGCTTCTGCAAATTCCAAACCGATTCCATTTCTGTGGAGGCAAAAGGAAAAGACTGTTGTTATTAGGCAGATTTACGCTGCAGTTAGAGACAACTCAAAACACGCTTTCATTTTCAGAGCGTGGCACCATGCTACTACAGTCAGGCTACGGTTTTCAGACAAAGCCAATTTCATTCAGCACAGCAGCGCAACCCAAATGAAGCTGACAGGGTCGCATGAATTTGACTTGAACGATCCAGCGATAAGAGGCAGAGAGACAGCTATAATGTGGTCCAAAAAGTCAGATGACCAAACCGAGCATTAGAAATGTCACTGCCACTCTCTATTCTTGCAAATCCCTATTTAACTTCAGGTTTACCCTAACGCTGCTTTGCAAGCGGGCGTTACAGCCTCACCAGGTAGCCTGAAGAGAGGTCTTTTATGAGCCGATACTTAGCGTGCGTGAAATTAAAACCGCTGGACAAAGTGAGTTTCTCGGGGTTCGCAGCATGTTATCTGCTGAAGCGCACCATGCAACGATTGCTCCGCTAAGATCACTGCGCAACTACTGCCAACTTATCACCAGAGAACAAGGTGCGCCGCTCCCGGCAGACATCCGGCTGCCTGCCCGACTTGCAGCTCTTTCCCCAGTTGTCTCCAAGACACGCTTACGGTGCAAAGCAAACAAAGAAACAGCCCCCCTCCCCAACTCCCACTGAAAGAGCACACGCTTTTGTTTACTCAAGAAATAAGATATTTTAACTTTCTCTTCACACGTTAATTTAAGAAATAACAGAAGGCTATTTTCTTTAAAATATCCAAAAACCTAAGTCACAATATATCTTTAGAGACCCATTCAAAACAAAAATATTTTTACCCACTACCAAGTTGCTATCGCACGAGCTAGAATATTTACAAAGACGCTAATTGTCTCTTCATTTTGGGGACGGAGTACAACGTTACGGAAAAAGAGCAGTTAGTAGGAGCACAAGCTGCAAGAACGATCTTTATAGCCTCCCTTGTGCCAGAAAGGAGGCAGACGGGACCTTGGTGGGGCCAGGAACAAAGAACGGCCAGAGATTATTAAGCAACATGAACGCGCGTGGTAAAGAACAAAACAAGGCGATGAGTAAACTTACTGGCATGGGAAAAGATGAAGAAATAAGCCCCTACAAAGCTCACGGCCGCAGCATGATGCGTGCCAAGTGTCACCTTCATCACCCGCTTGCGTGTTCGCACCCCTTCTCTAACCCTTCACCTGCGTTTTGCCTGCTACAATCTCAAGCTCCCTAGGGCAGGAAATTGCTCACAAATAAACGTTACCGGTCGCCTCTGCACGTTCAAGCCTTTTGTAAGAGAGGCCCTGACAAAATTGTACAACGTCTGCCATTTTTGTGTCGTGATAACAGCACGAATACTCTGCACTTTCATTGGGGAACCTTAACTGTGTTGGGAATAGCCTCTCAATACACCTAGAGACGGAAGCAACTCCGCAAGAGACTACTACAAAGAGGCATCTCAACGTAGTCCGAGTCCACCTCCCTCTCAGATGCAGACCTAGAAAGCAGTATTGCCACTTTCCAAAACAGAAGGCGGCCAATACCTGAAAAAACAGACAAGGGCCCTCACTCCCAAGACACGGCCAGGGAAATGATGCATTTTTTCCACAGCAGCCTCTAACCTAGCTGGAGAAAGTGCTATCAACAAACCCTCTCACAATCGAGCTTCTAAGTCAGCCCCGCTTCGAGCGGGCGGCTGGACTAGATAACCTCCAACCCCTTCCAACCTCACTTATTCCAGGAGTTTGCGATTAGGGTGGCTCTCCACAGCCCTCCGGCTCGATGTTCCCCAAGGGTGGGCTTTGCTCCAGCAGGCGTAGGAACGGCCAAAGGCTAACGTTTCCATCAGCTTCCAGGTGCCTGGAAAAGACAACTCCTGCAATATCCACCTAACGGGCTCCAGGTAAGAGAGCCGCTTTTTCTTGGGAATATCATTGGAACAGAGAGGGTCCACGGTGCCTGGCTTTGATGCGAGGAACAGACTAACACGTGCCTTCTGGTGAACTGCGGTGAGATTGCTCATAGGTCAATAAACTTTACGGGGGGATTGGTACATAACCGTGGAGGGGAAAAGTCTGCATATGGTAATTTGTTATGGCAGACACTTTTTATATAAAATTTCCCTTGCTAGAGAGGCTGCCCCGGAAAACAAAAGTCCCTGCGCTGTGCCACGGTGTCAGTTCTTTATTCTTTTAAATCTAATACAGAAACTGACAATCCTCCTTAAAGTGAAGGGCTACAGAAATGAAGAGGAACCATCCTCATTTGATTTCTCTGTCTATCTGCAGGACAGAATAATTAAGTTTGGGGATTGCCTAGAAAACAAAACAGAGATTAAAAATTAAATACTGGGGAGACTCATCATTCTACTGCTGGACAGTAGTTCCTGACAAATGGGAAAAACAGGACTCAAAGAATTAAATCAGCTTTTTGCCCCACAGCCCAGGCCCCACAGACCCAGAAGCGACAGACTGAGATCTAAACTCCTCCCACCAAGAGAGAGGAAACTAAGGCTTTTTTTTTTTCCCCCCCCTCCTGATGTAAAGGACAAAAATTGCTGAATTCACAGCTCTGCTATTTCTTCTGACCCAGTTCACCATTGCAGTGAACGCCACTCCTGGCTGGCCCACGCTGCCTTGCTCTATTTTCCATGCTGCTCTTCTGCTTCTTCATGCGAACAGAGATGCTGGCGCAACTGAGAAGCTGAGAAGGAACAAAGCAGCAGCGCTGGCAGAAACTTAGGGGCAAGAAAGAACAGGAAAACAACCACAATTTTCTCTCTCCTCCACCTATGCGGTCTTTGCTACTATGCAACAGAAGTAGGAGACCTCAATTATTCTCCTTTTAGCTAGGGACAAGCACGCTACAGAGCTTTCCATCACAAGATGTACCATATAGAGCCCGCTGTAAAGCGCAGACACCTTTGGCCTGGAAGGCTGCAACTGTCTGAACACAATGAAATTCTGCAAAGCACGACAATTCCAGCATGAAACGTTTCCTCCAACTGTCTTCAAAAGGACTACTAAAGCAACGAGAAGATACCAATCTCAACAGAAATACAGCTGAAATATATCCAGCCTCCTCTTTTGTAAGGCCCAGTTTCACCTCAAAGAGAGGAGGTTTGCAGCAACACCACGCGGAGGCAGAGGTTCGATTCTGCCCTAGAGGGGAGTACTGTCCCTAAGCTAGGGTGTCATCCCTTCCTCTTCATTCCACTCTCCCATATAAAGCTAATGGTCCTGTCTCCAACCAAATAAACAGTAGGCCCATCAATGCTTAACTACATCAGATATGTCACCAGCGAGTGTTTCAAAGAGCTGTCGCAAACACTGAGCTGCAGCACTGTCAATGAAGACTGAAGGATCATGGCATACAGTCAAGCAGATCAGATGCTCATGGTGGTCTCTGTCCTTAAAAAAATAGAAGGCAGGCATGGAACACAAGCATACATGAAACCAACAGGCAAAGCATCAAAGAGAAGAGCACAAGAGTGCATTATCAGCCTCACCAGCCGGCCTGGTGCCCAGACATCTGGGGAAAGAGCAACCTGGCTGCATGCAAATAAGCACAGCTTCCTCCCCCAGGAACTCATTGCACTCCACAGCCACCCAGGCTTGGACTCCAGCACGGCCTTGCCAGCAGCGCACGCTGCTCTGGTGGTTTAAGTAGGAGGCCTATATTTCAGATCCAACCCACCCTTCGCCTTACCTTCTCCACCCATCCATCCATCCTTTCACAAGCGAAGCCACGAAACAATTGTGTTTTAAAATGCCCTTTATAGTCACTGGACAAAACATGTACAGGAAAGCTGTGGTTTGCCGGAACAAAGCTACTAAGTCAACAGCTTGAGACATTCCCCTACCCTACTGACAAACCACGGGTGAGGATCCACAGCAACACATCACAGCTACAGGCACAAACAGTGCAAGCGAGAGCGCAAGCTCGCAGCAGACAGGCCAAAGCACTGCAACCGTTCACGCTGAAACCCATTCCTCACTGTAAATACAAAGAGCTTCTTTCTTTCACTATGGGTAACTTGCACTGAATTACCTTGTATTTAGTTCAGGGTAAAAGAGCGCACCAGAGCGGGTGCCACAGACCCACGACAGCGCTCTAAGCTCACCCCGGCCTTTCCCCACCATCACTTCTTTTCACGTCCATAACCTCAGAGGCAGGGCAGATTTGAAGATCAAATCATCGATACTTTGTTCTGCTCAACAACAAACAGATCAATTTGAAGGGGGAGAAGTTCACCTTCCTCTCGAAATCAAAACCAAACAAACTGAGGATCCAACTGCCTGGGACACCCTAACATTGTCAGGCACGCTCGCATGCTCCCCCCAGCAGGGAGGGGGGGAAGGTAGTTTTGAAAAATAAATAGGTAAAGACATTTCGTCCCTGCTTCAGAGGGGCTGGTGGCTACTTACTAGGAACTCGGGAAAACAACTCAAGGGAAATGGAGAGAACAGGGTGGGCTTGACCTACTACTTTGCTGTCCTGCAAACTGCACGCTGGCAGCTTTGTCTGCTAAACGCTTTTGAATATGTTGTGACACAGGAACTCACCTGCCCAGCTCCAGCTGCAGGATCGCGGGGACACGGGGCAGAGGGAGCCACCATCCCTCCCAATATCACTCCCCTTAGCTCACCCCGATGGACTTCAACGAATACAGAAATGCAACGTCCAGCATCACCCCAGAAGCCGTAGTAAAACCTAGACTGATCTGCACTTTGTAAACCAACAACAGTACCCAAAGACTACAGTGGAGACACAGCCTCAAGCTGCGTGCGGCACCCTGACCACCACATTAACGGCACAACACTGATCAGAAAAAATCCATTATCCTTTACACCAACGCCCGAATGACACCTGAAACGGGCAGAGAAGCAGCCTGAGAAGTAGAGGCGCAGAGGAAGGAGGGGCAGGAACCGCCTGCTTGCTCCGGCTGCTCAAAGCAAGAGCCCAGGCGAGAGCACGGCATGCTCTCCTGCAGAAGCTGAAGTGAGGGCACAGCCAAAAGCGGTTATTTTAAGGTGTGCATTAAGCGTCCATTCTTGCACTGAATGCAATTAACTCCTGTGTTTAAAAGGACTAAAGTCAGCCAGCCTTTGAAGTTAACACCTCCTTAACAGAACATGGGAAGGGAGTGTTCCTTACTTTCCTGTTGTTACTATTGTTTTACTGGGGTCTGTCTTTTACACAGCAAGTGACAAGGGGAGAGCTGGCTACAAAGTTGCTTTTGTACCAGAAAGTCCAGGTTGACAAAAACAAAATAAGAAAGCCAAGCCTAAGCGTTCGGAAAATTTGCAAACTGTAAGAGGAGGACTGTCTGGGACTCTCCCTCCTACATCGTGCTGGGCTTTCCAGTATTCCCGTTCTCTGGAGAGAAAATGAAATGCAGGATGCAGGTGGATGCAAGAAATAAGAATGAAAAGCTTGCTTTAATACTGGAATATATTGAGCAAGGGGTCAGGGAACTAATGAACGTTGTTCTTCTCAAGGAAGATACCAGAGCTTAAAGATGTTGACACCTTAAGAGTGTGATGACCTGGAAAAATATCTTTTAATCATTTTTAAATGCATGGGCTTACCAGTTCTGAAGGAAGCCATCTATATTTTTGCACTTTGTACGAAGGCTTTGGATGGGTAATTTAAGAACTTTGCAATGGGTCAAAACACAGCAGGTTTTCCTAAAGCCATCAAATACTAACCTCTCTGCACAGCTATCAGCGCCAACCTCTCTCAAAAGGAGAAATGAATAAGATGTCCACATACGTACGATGAACAGTAATAATAAAAAAAAAGGATGATCACCTTTTTCTCTCAGGGTAGAGGGATGCAGGGAGAGGGAAGGAAAAAAAGAATAAAAAAGGAACTGCCCATGAGTTTGTCAGAAGGAGATAAGTTAACACAATGCCAAAGAGCAACAGAGAGCAGAGTTCCTGTTACCGCAGAGCTGGGACCCAAAACCAAGAACCGCCACCAGACCTCAGAGTCTCTGTGACCACGACCTAGCAGGAAAGGGGAAAAGCAAACAGTTCTACAGACTTTATCTCTTGGTTCCCGGTTGTAGATGTCTGTATCGTGTTTAAGTCATCTCAGGCTCAAAAAAGAAAAAGAAGGAAAAAAAAGGGGAGGGGGAGAGGCAACTACAAAGAACTCCATAAAAACAGACATGGCAATAAAATCCATCTGAAAGATTTGGTCTACAAAGGGTATGAGAGAATTCAATCTGCAGCTTGGTGAAGAGTTGATAAGCAAAGATTTGCCTCACTGCTGCCATAATATTTTAGAAAGATGAGGAAAAACTCAGGGAGGTTAAAAAAAAAAAAAAAAAAAATCACATCACGAAAAGCCAGAGAGAAACACAGGAGTATTTTTTTTTTCTTCCTTTAAACTAGGTACCCTGCTTTCATGGCCTTATCTGCTAAGGGGAGAAGCAGCAATATGGTAGAGGTGCGAGCACAAACTAAGAAGCCCTTTCAGTGACAGAATAAAAACAGCTTGGTAAAGCTAGAACAGACCAAGTAAACCTGTGCGTTTAACTCCTTTCAATGCCAAGAAGCTTAGGAAGACCTGCCTGTTCCATAGGAACTAAAATTAAAAAGAAACACTCCAGCTAAGCATTATCCTTACCAATAATACTTATTTTTTGCCCACAGGAATAGGGCAAGGAGCATCTTTTAACATAAATTAAACGTCTGTTTGAGTAACTTTCTCAAACTGCTATTGCCATGAAAGATATGGAAGCAAAAAGCCCGTTTTTAAAACGATCATAATTGCCGTAAGCAATATAACACGTCACAATAGTGCATTAAAAAAAAGAAACCCACAATGAAGAGAATTCCCTTAGGAAGCAAGTTAAACCATTACCTTTAGTGTGATATATAATAGCAGCCCTCAGGTCAAAAGAACCCCAGCTATCTTTCCTTTCTAGGCCTCTCTGGTACCTCTGTTCTTTGGCGGAGGCTAACAAATTGTTCGTAGGGGAGGCCAGAGGATTCTCTATTTCATAGTCTTTTGAAAGAAACACTAAAGCACCTTGGCTACCGGTGTCTGCCTTTTGTAGGTCACCTGTGTGATGCGACTCCAAAGCTAAGACACCACCCTCAACAGCAGTCCCAGGCTTAAGAATAGCACTAAGAATTTGAGGGCTAGTCCGTTTATCCAGCTCATAAGCCTTAGGAAACACAGGTTGTTCAGTTCCTGAGGGAATGATTTCAGCACACTGTGAAACCAAAGCGGCAGGATATTCCCCTTGAAATGTCACTTCCATTAACTGATTATCTGCAGATTTCCCCACGACAGTTTCAGGGCCGGCACTGGGCTCATTTATGAATGACAAGCCCCACTGATTCTGGAAGATATCTCCCAGGTTCTGCTGATTTGTCTGCGACGGGAAATCGACTTGTGCTGCACCCAGAAGCACAGTTTGCATATTTGAAGGGTAGATAAAAAGGCTAGATTTCTTTTGTTCAAGAGCTGTTGAAGTTGTACTTATGTCCTGGGGTACTGACTCAGAAGAGGTTGATGTTACAGTACTAGCAGCAGTTGTGAGCAGTGGCTGGGTCCCTGGAGAATATAGGCTTCCATCAGTCCCTGCTAAAATTGGCCCATTTGAAAAGCTAGCCGAAGTAACAGATTTCATAGCAGACATAGGGACTTGGGAGAGTCGACTTGATGTCTGGGCCTGAGTTTCCCCAGCAGATGACGAAGACGACGACGAAGACGTAGATGGGGTTTGAGCTGCTTTGTTGAGGTTTTCTTTAACTTTACTTGCATAACTTATTTTAGGAACGATTTTAGCACTGCTATTGTCCACTGGAAAAACTGGGGGTGGTTTAAATAAGGTCCATGAATCCTCTTTAGATGTAGCTGATGACGCATGCTTCCCTTTGGGCCGGTCATCAAACTTCTTGCTGCTAATTCCAGGTTTGGCATCAGAATTTTTTCGCTGTACATCCCCAAGCCCAGGCTTTCCCCGGCCTGCTCCACCAGCCCCAGCCTCGTATTTCCAAACAGGCTTAGTATTTTCAATTCGGGTCCCCTTTTGTTCACTATAATCAGGCTTGAAACCCTCAAGTTCCTGTTTTAAGGTTGGGGTATTAACCTCCTGTTGCATTATTTTGTCCTGTACTAGATTCAAGTTCTCACAACCCTTAGCACTGTTGCGCCTGCCTTTCCGTTTTTTAGGCGTAGTATATCCACTCTCGGAGCCACTACCATCATTATCTGCCCCTTTGCCTACGTAGCCATTAGTGATATAACTAGAATTATTGGTTACCACGCCATTTGGAATAGATACTCCCTCCGGCTTGTCAGAGGATTGACTTTCTCTAAGCTTATTTTCGTAGGATTTCTCATTCTTTTTGTCCATGCTATTTTTCTGAACGAAGTTCTTGGTTTTGATTCCGGCTTTCCCCAAAGCACCGGCCTTAACAGTCTGCTTTGGGGTCACATTAGTGTCTACAAGTTGCTGGCTGCCATTTGGTACCCTGGATCCTGGGTTGGTTGTTTCATCAGAGCACAGGCCCTTTAATGATACTTCTCTTTCTCCTGCATTACCATTTAGCTCCCCGTAGCCTAGAAGAAAGCCAAAAACAACAAAAGGCAAGAATTAGAATCTAAAATGTTAAACTTCTGATCGCAAAAAGCTGTAATCAACCCTTAAACATATCCAGTTTCCTCAGACATTTTAAAACAGGAAAACATCTAGCCTCTGACATATAAAAGCACATCCTTACTCACTGAAAGTCACAGTAAGAAGAGTTAAGCAGAAAAACACCAGCGGCTGTTGACTCTTCTCATACGACAGGGTGACATAACAGCAGCATGTTGATTAACGCATTTGATAACAACAAAACAAAGCAAAAGGATATGAGAGGACAGAAATATATATATATCGTGCTAAAGACCATTTGCAAGTCAGAGAGCCAGCTAGTGTTTCCAGGTCACACAAGAGGAAAATATTAATTCCCAAGATGCTACAGGACAGAGGGATCTGCTGCCTTTGCTACATGATTCACTGAGATTCAGCATCTATATTGTGAACAAGGGCCAACTTCTAACATCTCTGTCACCTCACAGACCTGCAACACCAGCAGTCCCCCTTCCCATCTCCCTCCTAAGCAACATCTCCAGTAAAAAAGCTTTCCAAAAGGATATGTGCAAGTTCAGGTGGAAATGGAGGGGGGGGAGGGGTGACAGCATTTCCTCACTTCATTTCAAAATAGCAACCAACACTTCTCTACACGTGCTCTTTAGCTTTGAAAAGGTGATAAAGCTGGGAAGAAACGCACCTCTGCAAGCATCCTTCCACCACCACTGGCAACTAGCCACCTGCCTGCTGAGAAACTTCACTATTCCACCGCGTCCTGGGGAGACGCAGCAAGAGACTGAGAACCAGGCGGTGAGGCGTTTGCTGAAGGCCCCAACTCAAAATACAAGATCATGCTGTAAACTCAGCTTTCCTTTTTGTTTCTCAGGTGCGTTTCTAGTCTTTGTGGTTCTGACGAGAACCTCAAGACTGGAACTCAAGTGAAGCAGAAAGCTCAGGACAGTCCAGGCTGAACCACCTCATCCTTCTCAAGGCTATCTCCAGCCAGAGTCCCACTGAGAAGAAGGAAGAGCGTGCTGTACCCAGCTAAGCAAATACACTCCCAGCTGATGGGCTGAGAAGGGGGACTCCCTCCTATTGCACCGGCTTGTACAGGAAAGGAGAGAGATCCTTGCTTCTCCTCTGACTCATCTCTGTCCTCCTTTGCAAAGGTGGAAAGCCTCACATCTTCTGCAACAAATGACCCACCTAAGGCTTAATTTGCAGTTACAGTGGTGTCAAATCAGCACAGCGCACAAAGAAACCCCCAAACCCAGGAGCGGGCAAAATTCCAGCTTCAGAAAGAATGTTTTGCTGTTGCTGATGTCGTTTAACTCAACTGCTATACTAAAATTCATTGTTATCCACACATCCTGGAGTCTCAGATGTCTGGCAGATGTAACTGCTCAAGGAATCCTTATAGAAATTCCACAATGGAGTTTGCCGAGAGGGATCAAAAAGGATTTTACTATATGTAAGTATCTGTAATGACCATAACTTCCAAATAAGCTGTTAATAACATTACCCATAAATACTTCGTCACAGAGATACGAATGGGATGGGACTCTCTGATGACTCAAGGACTAAAAATTATTTCGGAGTAACATGCAGAGGAAGTCTTCTCAAGAATAACATGTAATAGATGACCTTGTAAGACTCAGGACTTCTGACATCACTAGTCAACGACACAAAACAGTAAGAACGGTCATAAGACCTCTGCAGATGAGGAGCGAAAGACTAAAATGAAGAACACTTCAGTAAGTCAGTGTCAGCAGTTTCAAGTTCCAATTTTCAAATATTCACAACTCGGCTGCCCGAGTTTTCTCCAAATCAACATTTGGCATAGCTGGTCCTGGCCCGGAAATAGAGGTGCAACAACCAATATTTTGGGGGGGGGGGGAAGGATGTCCAAAAGAACATGTGAGGGGTATTTGGCAACCTCACAAATCATTTCATAGCTGGAAAGAAAAGGGGCATCAGTCTTAAGCATGAAAACCACGGGCACGCTGCAAACAGTGAAGCGACTACTCAAGTTATTTTTGCCCAATAACTTATTTGAGCGGCTGCCTGGTCAATCCCCTCCCTACGCCCGCTCCAGATGGCTTTACGCGCCTGGCCAGACTGCGGTTTCAGGGCACTATGAAACCTATTTCTGATAGGAGCCAGGTCCCTTCCCACCTCCCGGCTGATTATGCAAACGAAGATTTCAAGGGTGGGGTGGAGGGGTGGTGGGGTGGGGGCAAGAAAGTGCATGGCCTTCTGACTACTCTTTTAGTCTCATATTTGCTTTGAGCCCGCAAAACGTTCAAAGACCAAAAACGGTCCTTGCCTGCAGGCCGGGGCCGTGAAGTCAGGGCGCCGGTCCTCCCCTCCGACCTGCCCAAACCGGGGCTATGCCCCGCAGGCAACGGCCGGCGGGCCTCCGGCCCC